GGAAGGTGAGGAGCCGGGCCGGGCGGGGGGGGGGCGAGGGGTCGGGACGCACCGGGTGCCCCCACCCCGGTCCCAAAGGGTCTGGGCGGCCACCGGGGGCTCCTTCCGCCGTCTGGCGTTGAGGCCTGCGGGTCACGCAGGGCCTGGACGCGGTCACCTGCCCCTTCCGGTTGGGAGCCCAGGCCGGTGCTGGTGCCGTTACAGGCCCAAGGCCTCCGCAGCCCCCGCCTCTGTCGGCTTCTGGTGAAGGCCGCGATTAAAACATGGCGTTGCTGGCCTGCTCCCAGCCGTACGGCGTTGACAGAGTCCCTGCAGCCTCCGCTGGGGGAGGGAGGCTCTAGCAGCAGCCCCGGGAGCAGCCACCTGTGCGGGGGGGTTTCCCCTCTATGGGTGTGCAGCGGCCTGCTGGATCGAAAGGGGAGGATTCTCCCAACTCGGGAGAAAAAGGGAAGCAGGAAAGCCCCGGAAGATGTTCCTCCTCTCTACAGCGTTTGGTGTGGTGAGTAGGGTGGCAAGAGAGTGATTCACACCAACACCAAGCTTCAGTTCCCTTCCATAAGGTGATACAGGCCATTAATAAAAGTTTTTAGTATCAAACATGGTGGACTAGTAGCTGCACAAGAGAGACACCTTCTAAACCATACCCCGGCAGTGAAAAGACCATAGCTGTAAGGAAGAAATTTTTTTACTATGAGGGTGGTGAGGCACTGGAACAGGTTGCCCAGGGAAGTTGTGGATGCCCCATCCCTGGAGGTGTTCAAGGCCAGGCTGGATGGGGCTTGGAGCAACCTGCTCTGGTGGGAGGTGTCCCTGCCCATGGCAGGGAGGTTGGAACTGGATGATCTTTGAGGTCCCTTCCAACCCAAACCATTCTATGATTCTATGATGGTGAAAGCTTAATACAGGGTTGTGACTACAGCCAGATGATTTGCCAGTAGGACTGTTAAGGGTTAAGGAGCAACCCAGCACCAGCCTCAACGGAACAGAAGGTTTTTAAACTGCGCCTTCAGACAAGCTGCAAAGGGGACAAGTTGTGGGTGAAGCTCCTGTAGCTTGGCGAGCTTCCCACCGCAGTTTGAGGGCTGTTCCAACAACCACTGCAAACAGCAGAAGATGGAGCTCGTGGAACTACTGGTCCACAGAGCCCTTGCCAAGTTGGTGCTTAGTGACTAAGAGCTGACAAAGGGTACAGGATACTTTTCCAGTTTCTGACGTACTTTTGGACAAGGATTTGCTGCATCTGTGGTCTATGTACATAATAACCCCCAGGTGCTCTCTTCCAGAGGCTTGCTCAGTCTCCAATCTCTGCGCATTTCCTGAATCCACAACGCCTTTTGGTGAGAGTCCCACAGGTTTGCCACCCTGCTCCTGAGAAACACGGACTTCAGCTGCTAGAATGGAGACTTTGGCTTCGCCTCGCTGAGGCTGAGACCTAAAGGGAGTTCTTTTCATTCCCTGCCGCTTCCAACCAAGTGCTTTTATTAAAGACAGAGTAGCATTGGTCTGGAACAGGATACATCCAGTCAGCAGGTAACTCCCCAGTCACCAAACAGCTGAATTAACTTGAGATAGGCCAATACCTGCTCATCTTAGAGATTTTTCTGAAGCATATAATGGTCTTTGTGATGCTGGACTAGAGGGATGCCAGCTTTGACTCACTGTAATTTTTCCTCTAAAGGAACTGATAACAGTTATGGAAAATTAGAAGGTAGAGTTTTTAAAAACCATTAAAGTGCCTGAGTTACTTTTGCAAATCCTGACTAAGTAAGATACAAAAGGCAATTTGTCATTAGTGCGGGGTTAAGTCATCAGTGTGAAACAGACAAATTGTGTCCTTAAGACAGGTTTTAATGCATTTCAACTAACATCTGATTAATTCACACTTAATGATAATTGCAGATAAATGGAGGGCAAGCAGGAAGATGTACTGGCAGGTACTCTTAGCACTAATTTGAGAACTTGGCTATGAAGAAAAATCTAAGCTGAGGCGTACTGAAATTATCAATTAGGACGTGAGAACCTGGTGCTCACAGAGACCGAGAGGATGCTCGAAGCTTGGCCAAGAAATAGAGGACCCTCAGGTCCCGTTCAGGGATGCAGGCTGGAACAGATGCCTGCCACAAGTATGTCAGAAATGATTGAGGGGACAGGAACTCAGGCCTGGACCAGTGGCAGGCCCTTGGGACCGGGCCAGAAACGCACAGCGAAGGTTGTGGAAAGCACTGGGAACCCAACTGCGTGAGCGATGGTTTTATTCTGACTGCAGTGCCACAAAGCCACATCTCCGCATGCCGAACTCAGAGCTGCTCCTAACGGTGCTTCCCGGTACGATTGAAGCGCCTGTACAAGTACCGGATCCTCTTGTTGAGTTTGTGGTAGTCCTCTACAAACATCCGATCTCCCACCACCTGCTTCTTGCGGATGCACCTCTGCAGCTCGTTCCCCCGCCAGCCTCGCAGCCACTTGGGCCCCACGATGAGGTTCTTCGGGTGGATCTGGAAGTCGCCTGAGAACGGGAGGGCAGAGCAGAGAGGATGAAGCCTCGGAGGAGACCGTTCCTGGGGTGCCCAGCCCCAATTCCCAATTCCCTCCTGCTGCTGGAGGAGCCGCTCGCCCCCAGGTGGGTCCAGCCTCCCTCCCTCCCTCCCGCCCGGGGGCCACAGCGGGGGGAAATTCTTACCCAGGATCCCCACGTTGTCGTAGACCCCGAACAAGGCCCGTTTTTCCGTCCACCGATCCACCTGCTTGGGCTTCGGGGGCTCCTTGATGCGCATGGGCCGGGTGAGCCCCGCCAGGGGGGAGGAGAGCGGCACGGGGAGGCCGGGCCGCACGGGCCCCCAGCGCGCCTCACCGCCGCTAACGCTCCGCTCGGCCCGCAGCAGGGGCGCGGCCCAGCCCAGCAGGGCTCGCCCCACCGCCCGCACCAGCGCCGCCATTGGGGTGACCCCACGGGCGGTCCCCGCCACCGGGGGGGGAAAAGCCGTTCCGCCGGGCCCGGCCGCGCCCCTTCCGGTCGCTGTGGCCGCCGGGAAACGGAAAGACAAGCGGGCGACGGCGCGCTAACGGTCGGTCGAAGAGGGAAGGGGAGCCGGCCATTGGCTGAGGCGCTGCCGCGCGGCCGCGATGCTGGGCGCTGATAGGCCGGAGAGAGGGGGCGGGGCGAGCGCGGCCCGCGCGCGCTGTTTTGAGAACCCAGGCCTGAGGAGGAAGAGGAGGAGGAGGCGGCGGCGGCCTGTGCTGGGACCATGGCGTCGTCGTCGTCCTGGGAGTTCCACCTGCCCTTTGCTCCCGCCGATCTGCTGCAGGACGCCGGCCCTGGGCGCTACATGGTGCAGGAGGTGCTGACCGTCCGCGAGCTGCCACCCGCCCTCACAGGTAAGGCTCCCCACAACCCTCTCGGCCTCCTGGCCCGTTCTCACCGCCGGCTCACGGCCGTCCATCGCTCCGTGTTTCCCTGCAGCTTTCCGGACCGCCTTCCGGGTGCGGGGCGCGCTGGCAGTGCTGCAGCACTTCGACCCCATCTACAGCTTGCTCCAGTGAGTGCAGAGGGACGAGTGGGTGGAGGGTTTTGGGGAGGCTGGGGCTCCCGGGCCCTCAGGCCTCTCCCTGGTGGCGTTTACTCGTTGTTCTGACACTGTGTTTGCCTTGCAGCCACTTCCAGGCTGTGGGAGCTGCTGTCAAGGAGGATGCCCTGGAGCTGATGACACAGGGTGGGTATCTGTGGTTTCCAGCTGAAGTAGGAATAGTAGAGAGGTTGCTCTCCTCCGGCAGCTCAATGATGATATAAAGGCTAATGTGACTCGACCAGCTGGGTTGCACCCTCAGCCCATTCCAGTAATACAGGTCTGTAATCTTGGTGGGCAATGCAGAGCTGTGTGTGTTCGCTGTAAGGGCAGGCCGACAGAAAATCCCCTTCCCCGCGTCCCTGGAAAGTCCATCTTGGGGATGCCTCAGCTCTGAGCGAGTGTTTCTCTGAGCTGACAGGGGGCTGTGGGAATAGGATAAGACAGCGTTCCCAAGGCTTGGGTTGCGGCGGGCAGCCCGTGTTACAGCTGGTGAGATGTGAGCACACGTCTTTGGTAATCTGATGACTGCTCTAAGTCTCCAAAAGAGAGGATGGCCGAGGGGCCTGGCAAGGAGTGCTCATGGCTTTCTGCCTCTCTCCAGTGGTGTCCCAACATTCCAATGAACTTCCTGCCATCTTGGGTGATTCTGGACTGAGCCATGCAGACCGCACCGCACACCTCAACGCTCTCAAGATGAACTGCTATTTGCTGACTGGCCTGGTGGATGCGTTTGAAATGGAGGCCTGCAAGAGTGGTTTGTTGGAGGTCGATCCTGGTGGGAAGGTAGGTGAGGGGACTGGGGACGGGAAGGGGAATAAGATGATAAAAGTAGAAAACATATAAGCTTGCTGAACTCTGTAGCTATCAGATGTTATAGCTGGATTTATTTAAACATGGTGCCATCATAATGGAGAGTACTGGGATTTCTGTTAAACTGTACATGGAAAACAGACAAAGGGACAATATGTGTCTAAACATCTGCAGGGACTCAGATGCCCAGGCTTCTCTCTGTTTCAGTCTTCTGTGTCTGGCTGGTATTTTACTGGTGCCAGTAATTTCTCGAGTTCTCTTCTGTGGTCAAAGATGACGGTAACAGCCATTTGATGTGGGCATATAAGATTCTCTTACAGCTCACTGTATGTCTCTTAATGCTGTAGGATTTAACGATCATTTTCTTTTTTTGAGGGAAGCGTGGTGGTGGTGCTTTTTCTGTTGTTAAGCTGCTGATGTATTGTATCATGTCATCTCCTTTCTAGAACAAGAAGAACCGTACCAAGACCTCTCGATCCTTGTGGGAAGAGGAGAGGGAGCCGCTTTTACAGCTGCTTACGCGGCTGCTGCACCTGGATCTCCGTCAGCTTTGGGGTGGTTTGGTGGTGGAAGAAGAGTTTGTCAGGTATGGGATGAAGTGGATTTAGAATCATAGAATAGTTTGGATTGGAAGGTACCTTTAAAGGCCATCTAGTCCACCCCCCACTGCAACTGGTCCATGTCCTTCCTGTCCTGAGGGCTCCAGAGCTGGAGGCAGTACTCCAGGTGGGATCTCACCAGAGCAGAGGGGCAGAATCACCACCCTTGATGTGCTGGCTGCGCTGCTTTTGATGCAACTCAGGATACAATTTGCTTTCTGGGCTGCAAGTGCACATCTTCTGGGTCATGTCCAGTTTTTTATCCACCAGTACCCCCAAGTCCTTCTTGGCAGGGCTGCTCTCAATCCCTTCATCCCCCAGCCTGTATTGATACTGGGAGTTGCCGTGACCCAGGTGCAGGACCCTGCACTTGTATTTGTTGTACCTTATGAGGTTCACATGGGCCCACTTCTTGACCTTGTGCACGTCCCTTTGGATGGCATCCTGTCCCTTGGGCATGTCAACTGCACCACTCTTGGTGTTGTCAGCAAACTTGCTGAGAGTGCACTCGATCCCACTGTCTATGTAATTGATGAAGATATTGAACAGTCCTTGTCCCAATATGGACCCCAGAGGGATACCACTTGTCACTGATCTCCATTTAGATATTGTGCTGTTGAACACTACCCTCTGGATGTGGCCATCTGACTAATGTAGAGTGGGATGGGTGACTCCCTTTTCTGGAAGGGAGGGTTAAATATTAAATCTGCCAGTGATGCCGTGTTACAGCCCTCTGCAGGGTACAGATCACTGGGAAACTGAGGAAACTGTCCTGAGGCAAGTGCAATGTGTTTAGCAACTGCTTCCTTTCCTCCTCTAGGCCTTTCAAATTCAGATGTTGTTTGATCCGTTTTTTTAAGGATACTGGAGAATCTCTCTGGTTTGAGAGAAATGTCTGTCTAGTGCAGTGTGCTCGAATGATGTTGGTGCAAGTTGTGATACTGAGGTTGAGCATCTCTGTTCTGTGGCTTTAGCTTAATGACAGGAAGCTGCTACCGTATCCTGGAGAATTCAAATATCGGTTTTCAGAAGTACCGGGCCACACGGGAAGCTGTGACACATCTACTTGCTGCAGCTCTGGTTCACTATGATCACATGTTCAGTGAGTTCCTGCTCTTTTGCCTTCTTCCTGAAGCCATTCCCAGCTACTTTCCCTGACCTTTTTCTTTCCCCTCACGTGCAAAAGGTGCCACTCTGAAGATCACGCAGATGCTGCAGCACTTTGAACATGTAGCCTCAGTGTTCGCGCAGGCTGTGAGCCTCTGGGCTACAGAGTATGGTCTGAAAAGCCTGGTGGGCGAATTGCTAAGGTGAGAAAAACACCTTGAGGCTTGTCCTTGCATCCTGAGCAACCTGAGGCACCCCATTCCTTGTTTCATCTTTCTGTGCAGGGAAATTGGACACAAATGTCCACAGGATCTGGCTCGTGATTCTTCTGGAATCAAGGGTTATGCTACCTTTATAACTGACCTGGCTGAACGGATTCCAGCTCTGGTGCTATCTAACATAAGCGTTCTCCTGCCTCATTTGGATGGGGAGGTACATTTCCACAATATTACCTGTCGGGAGAAGTGAAGCAGTAGAGGTGCTGCTGTTTTTTTGTCCGAAAAAAGATCAGGTAGCCAAAACCACGCCCCTTGGAATAGGTTCTGCCCTTACCTAAAAGATGCAAAGGAAACAGAAACTATGATATCTACTCTCTTGTTGTCACTCCCAGATATCAGAGAACAGGAGACTGCTTACTGGTCCGAGATCCCAGCTGTTGTCCTTTGTCTTCAGTACTTAATGAGTTAACACTTTAATTATTTTACCTTTTCTTAAACTGAAGTGTTTCTCATATCAGTTCTTGGTTTCAGTGGACCTAGCTGAATAGCAGGGTTGGATTACTACGTCTTGCAGGCATAGCTGTGCTCCCCAAAGTTAAAGCCCAGGCTGGAGCCCTGACTTAGAAGGCCCAAACTCTGGGCCACCTTTCCCCTCAGTATATCAAGTCACAGAATTATCTAGGCTGGAAGAGACCCTTGGGATCATCGAGTCCAGCCATAAGTCGTGTCTTTTTCTCTGTTCCTGGTTAAACAACTCTTCTTTTTGCAGAGTTACCTGATGCGAAATGCCGTTCTGGCGGCTATGGCAGAAGTGCTGGTGCAAGTGCTGAACGGTGACCAGCTGGAGGAAGCTTCCCGTGGTACTCGGGACCAGTTCCTGAATATGCTGCAGGCCCACATCTGTGACATCAACGGCTTCGTGCGCAGCCGCGTGCTGCAGCTTTTCACTCGAATTGTTCAGTGCAAGGCAAGTCTGGGCTGGGGAAACGGCCTTGCCTCAGTCATCCCTTCCCCTCTTGTGTTCTCTAAGGGAGTTTGCATCTCCCTGCTTTCTGTTTGCAGAGACTAGAGTTTAAGAGAGGAAGGTGCTGTCCCTGTGAACTGTGGTGTCTGCAATTCCTTTTTCCTAAGAGACCAAAAATCCTAGGGGGAAGGGAACTGGGGAACAGAAATTAAATGTTGCTTTTTATTACTGGGACAGACTAGAAGGAAGAGTACGGTACACAAGCTCTTTTTGGAGATTGGCATGGGAGAACATCACCCTCGCTAGATGTACTAAGACTCAACTCAACAGGCCTCTGGATAACCTAATCTAAGTCCATGCTTTCGACAGATTGGACCAGAAGATGTTCAGAGGTTCCTTCAGACTTACAGTTTTAAATAAATCTATAGTCTGTGCTTTTTAGTACAGTTATATATCTGTGGTAAAATAACATTCCATGAGTCTCTAGGCTGTCCTGATAACTTTGTCCATGCTCTCTTGTGTGCTAGGCCCTGCCTTTGACTCAGTTTCAGTCTGTGGTATCGCTGGCTGTTGGACGTCTCAAAGACAAATCTGTGGTAGTAGTTAAAAATGCCATCCAGCTCCTGGCTGCGTTTTTGTCCAACAATCCCTTCTCCTGCAAGGTAATGTTGACTAATATGATGGGTGTGTTAGATGTCTGTTTACAGGCTGAATATCCCCAGTGTGCTACAGCCAGGGGGACAGCCTTTCTGTGTCTTGTG